CAGCATCGCGGCACTGCGCCTGAAGGCCAAGGAGCACATCCAGGCCATCGGGAAGCCGTGGCAGGCCCTCTAGGGGCCCCGGGGACCGAATCAGGCCAGACGCCCGTCCTGGGAGCCGCCCCCGAGCCAGACGCGCGCACCCCTTCTCCCTGCGCTTCCCCGACGCGGCCATCTTGCCCTGCGCCGTCCGAAGACTTGAGTCTGGGCGCCAGTCTGCGGCTGACTTACCGGGGAGGGCTGATTCTCAGGCCAACTGAGGCCGTCTAGCCACCCCCACACCCCCATGGACCCCTGGCCTTGCTGCTGCAGGGGGAAAGACGGCCACGCTGCTTCTACGCGGGCGTGGGCCGGAGCCGCCGGGTTCAAGGGGCCCAAAATGCCTGACAGCCTCGGCCGCTCCCGCGCGGCGTAGCAACCCCTGAGAAGGACGACTGGGAGGAAGGGGAGCTGGAGAGAGTTTGAGGGACTGTTTGTATAGGTAGTTTCAAAGAATTGGGGAGGAAAATTAAAGATTTACCTGTTTTGGTTTGACTGGTTAAATGCGCTCAGGACTGCGGTGGCGGGGAGGAAGGGGGTGGTGTGAATGTGGGTTCTGGAAGGGCTGCGGTGATGGACCACGTGCGGAAAAGTAGAGGCATGCGCAGAAGCTGGGTCTCCCCTGCGGGGGAGAATCTCCGCATCCCAGACACTGCGGCGCCCTAGACCAGAACGCCCCACTCCTGGCTCCGCCTGCGCCTGCGAGTGTGTAAGGTTACGCGTGTTTGGAACTAAGGCTCATCTACCTGCGCGTTTCCAGTCCCTCGATACCCCAAAAGCCAAACTGCAGTTGCTACTTTGAAGGATTGACCCCAATAAGAAGCGTCTACACCATCTTCCCTAGGGTAAGAGCTGAACTCCCCGAAGCCCCGAACTGCCCCCCTCCCTCCTTCCAGCCTGCCGCGGCTCCATACCCTTCTCAGATCAAAGTCCGGGTCACCGGCTCGAGGGCAGCCCCTGCTACCTGGGGTTGTTGACATTAGTGCTCCGGAGAGTGGAGCAGGATGACTTACCCTTTTGTGTGCCCCACGCCTCTATCTCGCCTCCCCAACTCGCTTTGCAGCCCCCAACCCAGCGGTTCTATTTAATGCGTGTCGGGTTAGCTGCTGCACTCCGGAAGAGTGTCCTGGAGCGCTCCGCGCCGCGACCCGAAGGGCACATCCTAGCGGGAGCGTCATGGACTGTATTGCAGCGCTTCGGCACCACCAGGGGCGGGAGAGGGGGCGGGGGAAAAAAATCTAGACGTCTCCGCCGGCTTCAGAAGATCCCGGGGTACTTGCGGAATGCCCTGTGAAGGAGGGTCCGAGACTCCGGTGTGGATAACCCGGATTCCCGCCATGCAAGTTCTCTGGCGTCCTAGCTTTGAGTACTGCGAAGACGCGGTCAGAACCTTTGCTTCAACTGGCTGCTGATCCTCGGTCATTAGCACGTTAGTGAAGCACCGCAGCCCCCTTTCCTTGTCCAAATGAACTCTGCCTCCCTGGGAAATGGGAAAGATGGAATAAGGCCACATGATGTAAACTACCAACGACCCGGAATGAGGCAATGCACACTGTGATCCCGCTTCTCCGATCCCGGGTATCCCTGTGCTGCACTCGGGCTCCCTGAAACCTACCTGGGAAAAAGAGGACTATCTTGGTGCTGGGAGTAGAGGGAGTGTCGTCACAAGATTCATTCTCTACCATGTGGGTCCTAAGAGGCTGTGGCATAACCAGGGCTGTGTATCCATTAGACTCCCCTCTGGTGCCGTACACTTAGTAGGCTGATGAGTAAGAATGTACTGAATGGGTTATTTTCCCCAAGTAGGAAGTAGTATACCTGCACGTTCTCTGACAAGGATGTTTCCTGGGGAAATGTCCAGTGAAGAGGAACAAGAACTAGTTGGGAGTGGTCTTACGGTGTTGAGGGGAGGAAAGACGCTGTGTTGCTCCAGACAGGCCTTGGTTCAGGCCGACTTGGACCCAGTGGATCTAGGAGGGAGAGTGTGGGGACTCCTTTGCCGGAAGACAACGCCTGCTCTGGCTGGCTGCCTGAGGGGAGAAGGTGAGACTGGACCCGCTCCTTTTCGACTCCCGGGAACCGGGATGGGAGTCGCCTCGGGCAGGGCTGTGTGACCGCGGAGGCGGGGCGAGGAAGGACCCCTCGGATTGGACCGCTCCAGTGGGAGGGTGGAGGCAGGCTCGGCGCCGGGAACAGCGGTGCTTACTGGCCGGTGCTCAGCTGGGACAGAGGGCTGATCCCGAGATCCCGGGCCCGCTCGGAGCCGGCCACCGCGCTGCTCTAGCTGCCAACAGCCCCCCACCCCCACCCCGCCCCGGGTTGGGAGCATTTCAGTTTTCGCATTTTCCCTTTATGAAGGAGTCTCTTCCTGCCCAAGAGGGTGGCGTGTCCGCACTGCGCGCTGCGGATCCGGACTTCTGGGGGCGATTTTCCTCTCCCGCGGGGACGCAGGGGACTGAGAGCTCTGTCTCTCCCGACTGGGTCCAGAAGCAGCTGCAGCTGGGCGGGGCGCTCCTCGCTCGGTGTCCTGGGACCCCGCGTTGCGGCCCCAGGCTGGTCCAGGCTGTCCATTTCCGGCTCTCGGAACCTGGCTCTGTCTCCTGCGGGTCCGAGCTCCCACCTCTGCCACCCGGAGGATGATCAGGACTGGTGTGGGTGCAGTGGGGTAGAAGGACTCGGAGAGAGATCAGCAACCGAACGGGGGAGGCCCCGCTGTATTTATTTTAAACTCATATTTAATATTTGGGGAGATGGAAAATATTAAACTAAGGGAGACCATCCCTGCTCGTCCCGATTCCCGCCCGAGTTAATCTAGAATCCAGTGACGGGAAGCAGAGAGTCCTCATCTTTCCTCCCGTTGGAAAAGTTCATCGGTTAATTGAAGGTCTTTGCGGAGAGACCTCCGTGCACCCAGGTTCAGGAAGCGAGGGAAGCCCGGGCCTTCGCCTCCCGTGAACCGCGGCTCTCCTGCGGGAGGTGTACGGAAGGGACATCCGGAGTCCGGCCGCAGCCCCCGCGACTTAGCATTTGATGTGATGCCCCCACCCCCAGCCTCGCTGCTTGCCCTTCTCTGTCTCGGTTCCCAGCGCCCCTTTCTGCCAACAGAACCTTACTACGCGAGTGGAATTCAAGCTTCCAGGAGGCAAGCAGAAAAAGATGTTCAGGGAAGATGATGTTAATGAAAAACTGGCCCTTCCTCTCCGCTCAGCTAGTGCGAGCTCCGCACGGGCCCCCGGGGCTCGGCCTGCGTCCCGACCAGCCTGGGAAAGCGGAGGCCGGGAGCGCCAGGCGGGCGCGCCCGACTCTTCAAAAGGCTGATGGTGCGCTTTGTGGCCAATGCCGTCCCCTTAATTGGGAACTGGCTCTAATAATCTGGCCTCAGCTTGTTAACTGTACAATAGTGGGCAGAGTTAATGACTCATTAGTGATTAATTCCTTAACTGTGCCTTAATTGCTCACTGTAAAACCCCTTTCGTAAAACTGGATTAAATCGTCAAGATCCTTGACCACGTCTCTCACAGCCCTGGAGGACGCGGAGAGGGCCGCGTGCCCCACCTTCTGGGAGTCATCCTCTGAGGGGCAGGTGCAGCGTCGCCTCTCAGCCTGGGGGTTGGGAGATCCGTGGTCCAGTCATGGCTGTGACATTGCCTGGTCGTGGGACCCTGAACAGGTCCCCCAGTAAAGTGAGATCTCCAAAATCTCCCTTTCTCTCTCATCACCCACGGCAGACTCCTGAAACGTAACATCTGATTTTAAAAGGAGTGTCCTTCTGCTCTGTATATGGTACCTGCGTGGCGTTATGTAAGTAGGTTCTGAATAAACTGTGTAGGAGGCTACCTTCCGGTCCAAAGTGGTCTGAGAAAGCTCTTTCCAGTGCTAACATTGGCTGGGTTCTATAGTCTCCCCATTTATACTTTTTAAAAATTAGCCATTAGTTTTTTCCACCTTCTTATTTTTCCTGCCACCTTTATCCATTCTGGAAGCTCGTAGGGCATGGTGGACACATAATGATGGATAAACAAGAGTCTCCACCCTCAAGGAATGTGGCCAAGGTAGAAGAAATAAGGACAAAACTGTACACATGTTACAAATGCCTACTGGTTTTCTCCACCTGGCGTCCCACAGGCCACCCCAAAATAGATCTGTTCAAAACAAAACTTATTCCTCTTTAAGGCCTCCTAAAAACCTCCTTAAAACTCTCCTCCCTCCTTCTGCATTCCTAGCCACCCAACAGATATGATGAGCATTGTTCTTGTCCTCTTGAGACAAATTATTGTCCAATTTCCTTTCTATCTTATTTCTCAGCAATACATCTTCCAAATGTTAGCTGCCCAGAACACAGACATCTCCCAGCCTCCCTTTCCATTAGAATATGATTATATAATGACCAATGTTATGGAAGGGAAAACACTTTCAGGAAGTCAGTTCTTAAGTCAGCAGTGCACACTGTTCTTGTCTCTTTCCTGCTGTCTGTAGGCTACAAGGCAGGTGTGATGCTGGCGCTGGAAGTTCCATCTTGGACCATGAATCATCTTTCCGGAATTGTCAGAGCACTCTGCATTTTACTGGTCCGCCGTGTGCTTTTTCACTCTGTGGCTTTGCTTATGAATGTTCCTTCTGCCTGGAAGGACATCCCACCCTCCCCCTCCTGGCAAACTCTTCCAGGACCTGGCCTGGATACCACTGCCCTCTGTGCGGCTGGCCTGCGTTCCCCCAGCAGTCAGTGCCTTGTCCTTCCCCACCAAGAGCACTTTGCTGACGTCAACTTGAGAGCTACTCCAGCCCTTATCCCATAACAACATCCATGGCCCCCAGTGAGACTACTGGATCCGTGAAGGCAGCTGTCTGATCCTCCTCGCCAGTACTCAGTGCCTGACCCAGTGGGAGCAGCCAGTAACGGGTGAGCAGTAACTAGTAGAGGGCTCTGTGAGTCGCAGAGAAAGCACCGCGTCCTATAAGCACTTATAATGAAGAGTCTGCCCTCACCTGCAAAGTCACAGGAGCCTTCTCTGAAGAAGTGATGCTCCATCTAAGGCCCAAAAGGAAACCAGAGCTCAGCCAGGCAAGAGAGGGAGGGCACCGCATGTGCAAAGGAGGAGGGGCCAGGGCCATTCTGAGGCTCTGGAACAAGGCTGGTCTGGCAGAGGCCAAAGCACAACTTACAGAAGTAGAAGTCTGTACATGGCTAAAAACAATTTTAGCAGGCAGGCTCTACATACAACCAAGACTGTTTAAAGAAGGGAATTTTCCAACATAGAAGTGTGTTCAGCTGTTGGGCAGTCAAAAATTAACTAATGCCTGCTACAGGAGATGATGCGATCATTTCACATAAATCATCCTGCCTGCAA